AAATGAAGTACTTTTCATTGTATCATATTTTTTGGTTTCGTAAAAAATCTTTAGTAATTTCCCTCAAATTGACGTGTGAAAGTTTAGGGTCAAATTGTTGCAGTGCAGATTCGGAACTTTCTGTAAATCTTCTTATCGCTAAATATCCACGCGCCTTTGGTTCGATTTACATAATCATTGAATGTTCAAACGACCCTATAACTCCTCCTATTATTCTCCCTGATTTTCAGGATTATTTACATTTCTCCCCTAACGATTTTTTACCAAAATTATTTTCTCCCTTTATGTCATCATTCACGATAATTTTGATTTCGGAATTATTTTCAAAGCTGTCAAAAATAGTAGAGTAAACGGGAATTCCTTTCTTGTCGTTTTCCCAGGGGACAAAAAAAAGTCTTCAAGAATTAAACCAAATAAAAATTGGACACTTATGCTAATAAGAAACATGATCAATATGTGTTTTTCTGATTTTTTCCCCCCACCGATATTGTGAAGGACGTTAAGGAAACGTGTTGGCTTTGGAAAAAGTTGGCTTTTAAGAAAAAGGAGAAAAAAAGAATACTGTAATAGCAAGTGGAGAGATGATTCACGTCTGCTTAATGCAACTGCAATTACCAAGGAGGTTGTCATTCGGTGTCGGAATGACTCGTAACGTAGGAAAATGAGGAGTGTAGTAATGTGTTTTGCGCCGACATTCAAGCCTGCTGCTGCTGCCAGAATCTCCAATTTAAATCGAAAAAAGAAAGGAAAAAGACGAAAAAAGAGAAGAGAAAAGTTGAAAGCTGGGGATTTTAGTTCTTGTGGTGTTGGAATGCTTTCCTGTTTTGTTTTTTTATCTCCTAATCCTGAATCTTCTCTCCCTCCTTCTGCTTTTTTCTTTCTCTCTTCTTTCCTCCTCCCACCTTTTTCTTCTTCACTTTCTTCTTTATTTTCTCCTTTTTATCATTTTCTTCTTCCCTATCTACTTTATTTTCTCCTCCCCCCTCTTCTTCTTACCCCTTCCTCTTATATTTATTTCCCTTTTCTCACCCTTCTTTCTTTTCTCCTTCCAAATTTTTTTTCCTTTCCTCTCTTTTTCTTTTCTCCTTCCCCTTGTAGTTCTTTTCTCATTTCCTCATTTTTTCTCTTTTCCTTTATTCCCCTACCCCTCCCTTACCCTTCCCACTCTTCTTTTTTTTTCCTTTCCTCTACTTTCTTTCTCCTCCCCGTCTTTTACTTTTGCCCTTCCTCTCTTTTTTCTACTTCCCCTTCTTTTTTTGCCCCTTTATCTCTTAATTCAGGAAAGAAATAGGAGAGGGAAGAGGAGAATAAAGGAAAGGAGAAAATAAGAAGAAGGGTAAGGAGAAAACAAAAAGGAAGGGCAAAAGTAAAAGACGGGGAGGAGAAAGAAAGTAGAGGAAAGGAAAATAGAAAGAAGGGTGGGAAGGGTAGAGAAATAAAGGAAAAGAGAAAAGAAGAAGGTGATGGAGAAAAGAAAAAAGGGAGTGAAGGGTAAATGTAGAAGAGAGGAAGAAGAAAAGATTGAGAAGGGAAAAATAATTAAGAGAGGGAAAGAGAAAATAAAAGAGAGAGGAAAGAAGAAGAGGAGGAAGGAGAAAAGAAAAAAGAGAGGAAAGTGGAAAAAAATAAGAGAGGGAAGGGGAAAACTAAAAGAGCGAAAAGAAAGAGAAAAGAGGGAAGGAGAAAAGAAAAAATAGAAGGAAGGGGAAAAAATATGGAATAGAGAAAAGAAGTGGGGGGAGGTGAAAAATAAGGGTAGGACAAAATAAATATGAGTGGGAAGAGGAAAAATGAGGAAAGAGGAAGGGGAAAAAGAAAGAAGAGAGGGAAGGGATTTCGTAGCTTTCTGATGGACACCAGAGGGAGGGAAGTTTTCTCTTTTGCACAGAGCTACCAGATGGACATCAGGAGGGAACGTTTTCTCTCCATTTTCTCTCTCTCGATTTGCAGCTTCCAGATGGACGTCAAGGAGGGGACAGGATAGAATCATGTCGGCATGGCAGCACGGCACGACGATCGAGCAAGGCCTCGTCAAGGCCGTACATTGAGCCCGAGTTGCCAGCAGGAGGTGCTTGCTTCGCCACCATCTCGCGGTTCTTGCACCGTCACCGCACCACCCTAACCGACAACAACCTCGCATCCGTGAACATTCAACAGTAAACATCGAGCATTGACTTCGTGACTCATTTGTGGCATCGACAACACACAACTCGATTCACTCGAATTCCCCTCCTCCCTCATCCCCGGACAAATCTTGATCCATGATCCAAAACATTGATCCTCTAACTCGACAAGAGAGAAAATACTCCCTTAATGAACCTTCTAAACCCTTAAGGAAAATTATTTCAAGTATAAAAAAAAAATTCCCTCTTTTTTTTTATTTGCGTCGTTCAATCATTGAGGATGGAATGAAAAGTGATTGGTTAATATGCGTTCGAAGTCGTTAACGTCACAAACGCCGTTTATCTATTTTGCGCTCGGGAATCCTGTTAACACGCATTATAGTTACCTTAACGACGTAACGCGTTTCACGAGGCAGTTAAGTCTTGATTATCTTCGGACAATGCTTATATATATGTATATAGTTTTGCACGCGTACTTTATAACGTCCTTGCGAATAGTCATTAAACTTATTCACTCTGACGCACTTTATAGACATTGTCCCTTTTGGCCAACAAATTATTTTTAACCAACAACCAGTAGTTAACGTTCTACTCATAAGCCAAGTTCGAAAAGGAAAAACAAAAGGGGGGTATAAGCAGAAGACTAAAAAATCCAGGCTCCTATCTAATTCAAAGAGGGTTTGGAATAGTTTATTTTCTTCGGAATATGGATTTGTATTTAAAAAATTGTTTTTTTTTGCTTTACTATTTGCATAAAGGTAAAGAAATATTGAAAAAGCTTATTAAAAATTAGTAGAAGAAATAAATAAACCCTTTTGCTATTTGCAAAAGGTAAAGTCATTAAAAAAAACTTATTAAAAATCAGTGGAAGAAATAAATGAATCTTAGTAAATACAAAGACCCTAAAGTTAGAAATAACAAACCTTGTAACATGTTTTTTTAATAACTTAATTTTTGGCTAAAGTTTCTTGAAACTTTAACAATCGATTTTTGATTGCGCTAAATTTTGGTTCATTGGTTTTTGATTATAAAAAATTATGGTCTGATGAATTTGATGGCAGATGATTAGGGTCCAACGGTTTTTGATTGTAAGAATTTTGTTTCAACGGTTTTTGATTCTAAAGATTTAGGTCCAGCAGTTTTTTAATGGGAAGATTTTGGTCCAGCGGTTTTTGATTGTAAGAATTTTGTTTCAACCGTTTTTGATTCTAAAGATTTTGGTCCAGCGGTTTTTTACTTACAAAGAATTTTTGGTTCAGCGGTTTTTAATTGTAAAAGATTTAGGTCCAGCGGTTTTTGATTGCAAAGATTTTGGTCCAGCGGTTGTTGATGGTAATGATTTTGGTCTAGTTGTTTTTGATTGTAAAGATTTTAGTCTAGAGTTTGTTAATGGTAATGATTTTGGTGCAGCGGTTTTTGTCTTAGAAAGAATTTTTTGTTCCGCGGTTTCTGATTTTAAAGATTTTGGTCCAGCGGTTTTTTACTTACAAAGAATTTTTGGTTCAGCGGTTTTTGATTGTAAAAGATTTTGGTCCAGCGGTTTTTGATTGTAAAAGATTTTGGTCCAGCAGTTTTTGATTGCAAAGATTTTGGTCCAGCGGTTGTTGATTGTAAAAGATTAAGGTCCAGCGGTTTTTGATTGCAAAGATTTTAGTCTAGAGTTTGTTGATGGTAATGATTTTGGTCCAGCGATTTTTCATTGTAAAGATTTTAGTCTAGAGTTTGTTGATGGTAATGATTTCGGTCCAGCGGTTTTTGATTGTGAAGATTTTGGTCCAGCGGTTTTTGGCTTAGAAAGAATTTTTGGTTCAGCGGTTTTTGATTCTAAAGATTGAGGTCCAGCGGTTTTTGATTGTAAAGATTTTGGTCCAGCAGTTGTTGATGGTAATGATTTTGGTCTAGCGGTTTTTGAATGTAAAGATTTTAGTCTAGAGTTTGTTGATGATATTGATTCTGGTGCAGCGGTTTTTGTCTTAGAAATAATATTTTCTTCAGCGGTTTTTGATTGTAAAGATTTTAGTCTAGAGTTTGTTGATGGTAATAATTTTGGTCCAGCGGTTTTTGATTGTGAAGATTTTGGTCCAGTTGTTTTAGACTTAGAAAGAATTTTTGGTCTCGCGGTTTTCGATTGTAAAAGATTTTGGTACAGCGGTTTGTGGCTTAGAGAGAATTTTTGGTTCAGCGGTTTTTGATTGTAAAGATTGTGGTCCAGTGGTTTTTGCTTGTAAAAGATTAGGTTCAGCGGATTTTGATTCTCAATATTTTGGTCCTTACTACAAAATTTTTAACTACTGTCAACAATCCAACCAGATTTTATACCCAGAATTAAAAATAAAATTTTATGGTCATTGTCCCCTAGTCAAATTAATTACCCCCAACGAGTATTAAACTACGCTAAAACTTCGAAAAAAATATTATTAATAGCCAAATAAATTCCCAAGTCGACAATAATTTTTCTGTTATTTTTTTTTGAATTTTATTTTAAATATCGTTGCTCAACTATTCTTGAGAGAGAGAGAGAAAGAAAGGGAGAGAGTGAATGAGAGAGAGAGAAAGAGAGACTGGTTCCAGGTTAATTTTGTACCAAGTTTTTAATACCTCACGTATACGTACCTAATTAGTCTCGGGTTATCCTCGCTAATAAACTCGTACCGATGGTTTCTGTATAGACCGACTGCTTAAAGATGAATGTTACTTTAGACTGGTATTCGTAGAATTTACCTTGAGTGGTACTAAAGAGCATGCGGGGATAAAAGGTACCGCGCAATGTCGCTCTCATAAATTTTCTAGGACAATCTTTCTATTTCCAGTGAAAATTACTTAATTATTTTGTATTTATTCTTTTATAAATTAATCTTTTTTTTCGCCATATTGCAGATTCGCAAATGGAGCAGGGCTACAGATCGGAGGTTCAAGAGAGGGCACTGGTTGTATCACTGCAAATGTTTAGTCTCATTTTGGAACGTGGTGTGTCATTGCTCAAATCACAACTTGAGGGAGATGAACTGCCGAAACTTGTCGTGGGAGAGGATCTACAGGTCTTGCTACCGGCTATAAAGGTTCGTATTTTTTTGTCTAAAAACTAATTTTTTTCCTTAAGGAAAGATAACAAATCGAGCAAAAATGGAAACACTTTTGCTCGATTTGTTATTTTTCCGGAATAATTACTATATTTGTAGTCGCATCGTGTTGTGATCGGATGTTTGCGAGCATTATACGTGGGGCGTATTTATATACGATAAGTGCATTAATCGGGGTGTTGCTTGCATAATAAGTGGATGCTCCTACGAACAAGGTTTTCAGGGCCCATGACATTGACCACCGGCGGTTCGCGTGGGTGCAAAACTTGCGTCGCTTCATAAATCGTTGCTAGCTCAAACACGTTCACCAAGGACCACTATTACAGCACATACACCAACATTTATATACATAACGCCGCGTCGGCGAAAGGAAGAGATGCTGAAATCGGATCGAGTCCAAATGAAAAACGATGGCGCCGTCGAGACTCAACGCCATCTAATTCAAACTGTGTTCCGAAAAAGTTTGTGTCCTTTAAAGGAAGGTGTTTTTTTTAGAATCTGAGCTAATTCCCTTCAATTAAATTGATATTTTATCAATTTTCGGAGGTACAGAAATATTTGTAAAAAAAACTTATTAAAAATAAGTAGAAAAAATAAACAAACCGTTTTGCTACGTGCAAAAGGTAAATATATATTCAAAAAGAAAACTTATTAAAAATAAGTAGAAGAAATAAACAAATCCTCAAAAAATTGCTTTGTCAGGGTTGTCAGAGGTCAGTCAGGGAATTCGGGAAAATTAGAATTGGTCCAAAAAATTAGGGAAAAGTCAGGAATTTTTATTAAAAGTACTGGGAAATATTAATTATTAAGAATTTTTAAGAAAATTCCTAATTTTGGTTTCTTTTTTCTTTGCCTTATAAACTATGAAATTGACAAGATGATCTCTAATACAAAACCTTCAGTTTTTTTGATTTCTGACAATTTCTTTTTAAATAACTTAATTCTTGAACTATCATAAAATTATAAATTATTTAATGAATTATTTTGACTTAAAAATTTTTTAATTAATTGGATTTCAAAAGAATTGCGGTTACAATCTTCATAAATAGATAAACTTTAAAGGTTTCAATTTGAAATTTTAGAAAATGGCAATTTTTAATGAATTTAAATTTTTAAATAGAAATTTTAAGAACAACTGATTGCAGAAATTCAATTATTTTCAAAAGTGATAAACTTCTCTGCTTAAATTCAATTTTGTTCAAACATTTAACAAAATTCTCGTCAAAATTTCAATTATCTTTATAAATAAAAAAATTTGTTATCCGAAATTTAATTATTTTTTAAAAAATTTAATAAAATTCTTGACAAACTTTCAATTATTATCAAAAATTGTTCTCATTTCAATTATTTTTAATATCTATTTTAATAAAATAATAAATAAATTTTAATAATTTAAATAAAATTCTTTTAAAAATTCTATTATTTAAAAAAATTTTGACAAAATTCTTTACAAGATTTAGTTAATAAAATTGCAATTTTAATAAAATTTTCCTAAACAATTCAATTATTTTTAATACAATTCTTCCTAAGAATTAAATTATTTTCATAAATAATAAAATTTTTCTCGAGACTTTAATTATTTAAAAAAATTTTGTTAAAATGCTTTATTAATTTGAAAAATTATAATAAAATTGATCATAGAATGCAATTATTTTCGTAAAATATATAACTCTTTCTAGGAATACAATTATTGTCAAAAATATTTTAAAAAATCTTTGAAACAATTCAATTATTTTTGTAAAAAATAAAATTCTTCGAAACAATTCAATTATTTAAGAAACTTTTATTAAAATTCTTCCCAAGAATTTGATTCTTTTCAAAAATAAAATTTTTTACAGGATTTCAATTATTAAAAAAAAATTTAATAAAATTCTTCGTTAGATTTTAATTATTTTCAATTTTTGAATGAAATTTTGTCGATGGAATTTAATTATTTTCAAAAAGTTTTAAAAAATTCTGAGAAATTCAATTATTTAAAAAATTTGAATAAAATTCTTCACAAGAAATTAATTATTTTCATAAATAATATTTTTTTCGGAATTCAATTCTTTATAAAATTCGTTGAAAGAATTTAATTATTTTCATAAATAACAAAACTTATTCGCAGAATTCAAATTATTTTTTATATAATTTTAAATAAACTGATAGAAAATTAGATTTATTCTTAAAATTACTTTTTAAATTGGCAAATTTAAAGAAAGAATTCAATTATTTTTAAAAATTTTGATAAAATTCTTCATATAAATTCAATTTTAGGAAATATTAAATTATTTAAGAAATTATTTATCTTTCAATTTAAATAATTGAATTCTCGAAAAATTCATTATTCCATTATTTTCAATCATTTTCAAAAAATTAATTATTTTTAAACCTTTTAATCAAATCCTTCAATTAAATTAAATTAATTTCAAAATTTTTAATGTAAAATTCCTTTAAAAATTTAATTATTTAAGAAGATTGTTGATAAAATTCTTTAGAAAAATTTAATTATTTTCATAAATAATATTAAAATTCTTCGGAGAAATTCAATTACTTTCATAAATAATAAAATTCTTCAAAAGAATTCAAATTTTTTTAATACAATTTTAATAAAATTTCTCAAAAGAATACATTTATTTTTAAAAATATTAAGTAAATTCGATTATATTAAAGAATTTTAATAAAAATTCAATTATTTTCAACAAGTTTGCTACAATTCTTTACAAAAAAATAATTATTTTTAAACGTTTGAATAAAAATTTTCGATGAATTCAATTATCTTTAGAAATAATAAAATTCAATTACTTTCATGAATAACAAAACTTATCGCAGAATTCAAATTAGTCAGGGAAAAAAAATTAAATTTTTGTGGCAACCCTATTTGCCTTGCTATTTGCAAAAAGTAAAGAAATATTCAAAAAGAAAACTTATTAAAAATAAGTAGAAGAAATAAACAAAACCCTCATAAGCTAAAAAAACCCTAAAGAAGCAAAGAAGTATTTATTGCAAGCGTTTCTTTTTTAATTTCATCTATTAATAAAATTACTGGTCATTTTCTCTTTTTTTAATTATTATAGTTTTTTTCGAGACAACACTGAACGTTAATTTCAACGTTACATTTTCTTGCAATTGTTTCTATTTCCATAGGCTATTGCCTTTAATAAATTATTATCAGTTTTTTATTTTTTTTTTTTTGGGAGGTAAAACTAAACGTCAATTTCAAAGTTTATTAAAAAAGGGAGTAAAGACAAGGGATATTAATGGTGGTGGTATAATAAAACTATCAGGGAATGTCTGTATACGTTGAGGGAGATGTACATCCAGTAAAATACGCTCTTTCTGTCTGTCTTGTTCTTTTTTTCTCTCTTTCTCTCGTTGTCTCTCTCCTTTTTTCTCTGGTTGTATTTCTTGCTTTCTCTCTCTCTTTCTTTCTCGAGGTGAGATCAAACGTACAACTTATAGATTAGAGCGTGGAGAGACTTGTAACTTCATGCAGCTTCCATGATTCATAGGTAAAGCCTTGACTCGATTTCTTCTCCTTCCGGGAAGAACCCCTGCCTGAAGGGTTGATTCTTATCGGAGATTTGGATCGGTAGGGAAATAATGTCAGGGACAACAGTTCCGTAAGTGAAGTTGGGGATATTAATATTGTCGATAACGTTTGGACAAGATACACGTGCGCTAAAATACATTGTTAGAGCTCTTCTTCCGTTTGCCAAAGTCAGAGAATAAGATTCACGTTTTCTATAATAATTCCTTTGAGGAATTCACTTTATCATTTACTTCTTTTTTTTCTTCTTCTTATTTCTTTATTTTAAATTTGAAAAATTGACTGAAAGATAATTTTAAAAAATAGTTCCAGTTTTTTTTTTGAAAGTATTTTTAATTTCCGATTTACTTTTATGGTGCTTTTTGTATTTTCAGATTTGGTGTGACTGGATGCTGTGCCACAGTACTGTCTGGAACCCCCCGCCATCTTGTACAGACTACAGAGTTGGGTGAGTGTTTTTTTGAACAACAAGTAACTGAGGGTTACTTAGTCCATGGACTGAGACTGACGACCCTTAACAGTGAAAAAGTTTGTGTCCGTTAATGGAAAGGTATTTTTTTTTAGATCTGAGCTAATTCCCTTCAATGAAAATTGATATATTATCAATTTTCGAAGGTATAAAACCATTCGACGAAAAACTTATACTGAGCAAAAAATTAATTATATAAATGAATGAAAAAATTTAGAATAGTAAAAATAATAGGAAAGAATTTTTTTTACTGCATTGAGAAAATATTTTACGAAAGTTGAATTTCAAAAGAACATTTCTCGCTGTCTTTCTCTCTCTCTATTCCTAGCGACTTTAGATTTCAATTATTCGGTCATTCGAAAGTTCAGACACGGCTTTATTAGCTTGCAAATTAAAATAAGTGACGTTAGTGCTCGTTCTGGCAAGTTTTACGAGAACGGATAGTTACAAAGTAGCGATGCTGTAGTCGTACGTAAGGGTTACCTTAGGTCATGGCCGTTCGCTACCCAGCATTCGCTTCAGCAACGAAGAACCGTGATAGTTTCTGCCAGATCATCGCTTCTGCTCACCTGTATGAATAATTTTTGTCCATGCATTATTAATATTTTATTTATCAACGAAAACCACGAAACGTATTCTTTTTCTTCTCTTCTCTCCCCCCACTAGCCCCCTACATTATCTTCAATTTATTATCTTCTTTATTTCATCTTCAATTTTCGTCTTTATTTTCAACTTCATTTTCTGTTTTTTCTCTTTTTTCATCTTTCTTTTTCTTTTCTTCTTCTATTCTTTTTTCTTCTTCCTTTTCTTCTTTCTTCATCATCATCATCATTCTATCATTCTCCATCATCTTCATTTAATCTCAATTTTTTTCTTTTTTTTCTTCATCTCAATTTTCTGTTTCGTCTTCATTTTCTTCTCTTACTTCGGAATTTAATTTTATTATTAGTATTCAGTTTATTTATTTCAATTTTATTTATTTAAATTGACAGCATGGTAGATGATAATTTAGATAAAAAAAATAATGAAATTCAAGTAGGAATTTTAATTTTTTTGTTTTTTTTAATATGTAAGATAGCTAAGAGGTTAACAAACAGATCAGGGAATTCAGGGAAAAATTAGGGGAAAGTAGAATTGGTCAGGGAAATCAGGGAAAAGTCAGAAATTCTTATTAAAAGTACTGGAAAACATTTTTTTTTCTATTTCTAACCACAATAGATTTTTAATTATTGTTCAATCAATTTCAAAAGTTTTAAATTAAATATATTGATGAATAACAAAATTCTTTACAAAAATTCAATTTATTTTTAGGAATTTTAATAAAAATCTTTGCAAAATTCAATTATTTTCATAAATAACAATATTCATCACAAGAATTTAATTATTTTCATAAATAACAATATTCATCACAAAAATTCAACTATTTTCAAAACTAATGAAATTTTTCGAAGAAATTCAATTATTTTTAAAAATTTTAACGAATATCTCGTCAAGAATTCAATTATCTTTATAAATAGCATAATCTTTCGCCAAAAATTTAATTATTTTGAAAAATTAAAATTAAATTCTTTGCAAAATTTCAATTAGTTTCAATAGTTTTTCGCAATTCAATAATTTTTAATATTTACTATTATCATAAAATTGATTAAAAAATTTAATTATTGAAAAAAAATTGTTGATACAATTTTACGAAAACATTTAATTATTTTCATAAATAATAAATTTTCATTTAGGAATTTAATTAATTTCATCGCAGAATTTTAAATATTTTTAATACAATTTTAAATAAATTCCGCGAAAAATGCAATTATTCATAAAAATTTTATTAAAAGTTGACAAAAGAATTCAATTTTAAGAAACATTCAATTATTCAATAAAATATTAAAATTCGTTAAAAAATTCAAATATTCAAAACAATTCAATTATTTTTATAAATTAATATAAAATTCTTGGTAAGAATTCAATTATTTTCATATAAATAATCAAATTTTTGAAAGAAATTCAATTATTTTAAAAAATTTCTATAAAATTCTTGTCAAGAATTCAATTATTTTCAAAAATAATCAAATTGTTCCAACGAATTCAATTATTTTAAAAAATTTCTATAAAATTCTTGTCAAGTGTTCAATTATTTTCATAAATAATAAAATTCTGCAAAAGAATTCAATTATTTTAAAAAATTTCTATAAAATTCTTGTCAAGAATTCAATTATTTTCATAAATTTTTAAGTAATTCTGCAAAAGAATTCAATTATTTTTATAAATTAATGTAAAATTCGTGGCAAGAGTTCAATTATTTTCATAAATAATCAAATTGTTTGAACAAAATCAATTATTTAAAAAATTGTATAAAATTCTTGTCAAGAATTAATTATTTTCATAAATAATAAAATCCTGCAAAAGAATTCAATTACCTTGATAAACAACAATATTCTTTCCAAAAAAACAATTATTTTAAGGAATTTTAATAAAATTCTTTTTCAAAATTCAATTATTTTGATAACTAACAAAATTCATTACGAGAATTCAATTCTTTTAAAAGGTAATAAAATACTTTGCAGAAATTAAATTATTTTCAAATTTTTTGAAAAATTCTCGTCAAGAATTAAGTTATTTTTATAAATAGGTTCCGAAATTCTTCTCAAGAAGTCAATTATTTTCAAAAGTTTTAATATAATTCTTGTCAAAATTTCAATTATTTTATACATAATTTAATAAAATTCTTCACATGAATTCAATTATTTTCATAAATTATTAATTAAATTCTTCTTATAAATTCAATTATTTTCAAAAATTTTGATAAAATTCTTCAAAAGTTTTTAATTATTTTCAAAAATTGTGATAAAATTCTTTAATTCAATAAATTTCTGGTAAATTTTAATAAAATTCCTTAAAAGAAATTAATTATTTTAAAAAGTTGTTAATAAAAATTCTTCATAAAAATTCAATTTTAAGAAACATTTAACTATTCAATAAATTATTTAGTTTTGTATTTAAATAATTGAATTCTCGAAGAATTTTCCAATAAGAATTTATTTTAAAATGAATTTTGTATAATAATTTTAATAATAAAAGCATTAAAGCATGAATTTTTAGAAATAATTGATTTTTGAAAAGGTTTTAAATTCAAATCTTTGGAATTATAAATTTTTCGTACTTTTAACTATAATAATTAAATATTTAAAGAAAAATTGTAGTTAAAAATTCTGGAAAATATTAATTGAATTGTAATGATGAAAATAATTTCGAAGAAGTTAGAGTAACAATATTTTTATATAAAATAATAATTTTATCACAGGGTAATCTTTAATATTTAATTATTATAAAAACATGAAGAAGTGAATCACTTCGAGTCGAAGACTTCTTCATGTTTTTTTAATAATATTCTTATAAAGTTATTGAATTTCAAAAAGGTTTAAATTTGATATTTTTGAAAATCTTAGTTGCCAAGGAAAAATATTAATCAGAATTTTTTTTTTTTTTTTAATATGTAAGACAGTTTAGTGGTTAACCGACCGGATTTTTAACACATGGGTTCGGGGTTCGATTCTCCGTGTCTAGATCATTAAAATTTTTTTTTTAATAAAAAAAGCAATAAACTATAAAAATTGAATAAATAAATTATAAATTTTAAGATTTGACAAAAAAAATAGTTAAATTTAATAATGAGAAATGCTTTTGTAAAAAAAAATTGACTGAAGAGTTTTTTGAAGTATTTGCAAAATACATTTTCGGACAATGCAAATAGTGTGAGAGAGAGAGAGAGAGAGAGATTTTAAAGAGAGAATTGAATGCCTATGAATAATAAGAGAAGTGCTTCTGAAGTAGAAGCGACTAAACGATCGGGAGTCTTTGAAAGGTCAACGGTTAATTACGTCAACTTGTGTTCGAAGCCAATGAAACATAATAGTTGAAAGAAGCCAGGATCAGATTCGTCGCGCTTTACAACGTCCTTGCGTGGAAGCGCGCTTGACTCACATAATTGTAAATTGTTAAGAGGCAAACAATAATTAACTCATTCAATCATAGTTGCGCAATTTTTTTTTTATTTTAAATTCATTTTCGCATTGTAAATTTCTGTCTTGTGTGAATTTTTGTTTTTAAATTTCAAAATTTTGCGTTCCGTGAATATTATTGTTTTTGTTGTCGCATTTTTCTATTTTTCGTGTTGTGGAAAATTTTTTTTTTTCATATTGAAAATTTTTTTGTTTTCACATTTTTAAACTTTTTGACCTGGGGGAAAACTTTAAGATGAATGGTTGTAGAAAAAGGTTTCTTTTTAGAATCTGAGTTAAATTAGACGTTAATTTCAGTAGCTTAGAAAATAATGTTCATGTTAATTAAAAAAAAAAAAAAAAAAAAAAAAAAAAAAAAATCGGTGTTAGGCTTTAGTGAAATTAATTTCAATTTTGTATCATAGGGGAGTAATTATAGCAATTGTGGTTGAAGAGAAAAAATGTTTCTAAATCCTGATTGAGGGAAAAATAAACATTTGTTGTCAATTGGGATTCTCAGTTTTTTGGGGGTCAAAGAAGGAAAATATTCATCGACTGTCACGAAATTGTTTTGTTTGGAGGAAGATGGAAAATTAATGGTCGTGTTTTAAGATAAATTGATGCTGATTATTGTGAGCAATAATAGAAATTTATTCAATAGATGAAAAAATGTTCAACATATGGTTCCAGTATAGTGGAAGCGAAGGTCGAGACCAGAGCGTGACCGATGAAACGGATAAGCGTCTTGATAATCCGCCTTTTTCACTGAAGAGCGCACGGAATGCAAAAAGATTAACGAGTCGCGGGTAAAATTTTTCTTTTTCTTTTCTTTTTTTCCACCTTTTTTTTTCTTTTAAGGTGTGTATATAGCAAAAACCCTTTTCGAAGATGGCGAGAAGAGAATTTCTGCTGTTGCCTCGGTTCACTGAAATTCATTCCTATTCATCTTAAATCGTTCCGACATTTACGTTTATATAAACACACTTATCAGATTTGTTTAGAAAACGAATTCTTTGAAAAAAAAAAAATTTGACGACAAGGACGAAAATTGAAAATTGAATTTGTGAATGAAAATGAGGGGGGAGAACTAAATTTGTTTTTTAGAAGGAAAGTAATTTTTCAGAAGAAAATAATTTCTATTTTCGGTTATTTTCAGACCTCCTGGAGATGCTTGGAGCAGATTGGCGACGTTGGTGAATTTTTTGGAGAAGTTAACGTATCCTAAGGACCTTTTAATTTCGACTAAGGACGCTCAGGGCCGAGAGGAAGGTGAGAAATTGTTTTTTTTACTCATAATTAATTTTTAAAAAATTGCTTTTCTTTGCTTTGCTATTTACAAAAAGGTGAAGAAATATTCGAAAAGGAAACTTATTAAAGATAAGTAGAAGAAATAAACAAACCCTCAAAAAATTTCTTTGCTTTGCTATTTGCAAAAGGTAAAGAAATATTCAAACAAAAACTTATTAAAAATCAGTAGAAGAAATAAACGAACCCTTTTAGGTTAAAAAACCCTAAAGCAGGCTTCGCACCCATCTACTAAAACCTATTAGAAATCAAAAAACTATTTTCAAAAATTATAATCAAATTCTTTAAAACGATTCAATTATTTTCAAAAAATATTCGAACTTCAATTATTTTCAAACAATATTTGAAATTTAATTATTTTTAAAAAATATTCGAAATTCAATTATTTTCAAAAAATATTCGAAATTCAATTATTTTCAAAATTTAGTATCTTCATGAAATTTCGCAAAAGTATTCAAAAAAAAAATTGATAAAACTCATCCAAAATTAAATTATTTTTATAAATAATAAAATTTGCACAGGAATTAAATTAATTTAGAATAGCATTTTCAAAAAGAATTTGGAAAAAATCAATTATTTAACAAAATTTAAAAAATAAATAAAATTCTTCTCAGGAATTCAATTACTTTTTAAAAATTTTCATAAAATTCTTTGCAACTATTCAATTATTTTCATAAATAATAAAATTCATCGCAGAATTTCAATTATTTTCAAATATTTTAATAAAATTGTACAAAAGAATTATATTATTTTAAATACAATTTTAATTTAATATTTCTGACATAATTCAATTATCTACATAAATAAGAAAATTATTCCCGAAAATTCAATTATTTTTAGGCATTCTAATAAAATTCTTTGTAAAATTAAATTATTTTCATAAATAACAATATTCGTCACAAGAATTCAATTATTTTTAAAAGTAATAAAATTTTTTCTTGGAAATTCAATTGTTTAAAAACTTTTTTGTAAAAATTTTCGTAAGAATTCAATTATTTTCAAAAATTTCTATAAAATTCTTGACAAGAATTCAATTATTTTCATAAACAAGAAAATTTTTCGAAGGCATTCAATTATTTTCAAAAATTTCTATAAAATTCTTTGAAGAAATTCAATAGTTTTTAAAATTTTTTTAAAAATTCTTGGCATGAATTCAATTATATTCATAAATAATAAAATTATTTGAAGGAATTCAATTATTTTTGAAAATTTTTATATAATTGAATTATTTTCAAAAATTCTTATAAAATTTTTGGCAAGAATTTAATTATTTTTATAAATACTAAAATTCTTCGAAGCAATTCAATTATTTTCAAAAATTTCTATAAAATTGTTCTCAAGATTTCAATTATTTTTCAAAAAATTTTATAAAATTCTTTAAAGAAATTCAATTATTTTCAAAAATTTTAATAAATTTCTTCTCCAGAATTCAATTATTTTGTAATATTCTTGTTAATAATTCATTTATTTTTATAAATAGTAAAATTCATCGCAGAATTTCAAATATTTGTAATAAAATTTTACATAAATTGCTCAAAAAATGTAATTATCCTCAAAAATTTAATTTTAATTACTCGAAAAAATCAATTATTTAAAAAAAATTTTTTTTTAATTCTTTGGAAGAATTCAACTATTTACAAAAATTCAATTATTTTTTCAGAAGAATTCAATTATTTTTAAAAGTAATAAATTTCTTCTTGGAAATTCAATTATTTTTAAAAATTCTAATAAATTCGTTCGCGAGAATTCAATTATTTTCATGAATAAATTGCTTTTTAGAAATTCAATTTTTTTCAAAAATAACAAAATTTTCGCAGAAATTCAATTTTTTTTAAACATTTTAATACATGTTACGCAATAATTCAATTATTTTCTTAAATAATAAAATTCTTCTCAGAAGTTCAATTATTGTTTAAAATTTTATACAAAAAAAAAAAAAAATTTCTTGCAACAATTCAATTATTTTTGAAAATAACAAAGTTTTTATAGAAATTCAATTATTTTTAAACATTTTAATAAAATTTTTCGCCATAATTCAATTATTTTCATAAATAATAAAATTCTTTTCAGGAATTTAATTATTTAAAAAAATTTTATAATAAAATTCCTTGCAACTATTCAATTTTTTTCATAAATAATAAAATTCATCGCACGAAATCAATTATTAAAAAAAATGTTCTTTTTTGCAATTCTTTGGACGAATTCAATGATTTACAAAAATATTATAAATTTTCACTGGAATTCAATTATTTTCAAATATTTTAATTAAATTTGTTCGAAAGAAATCAGTTATTTTAAATAGAATTTTAATTAAACTTTTTTTTAAATTCAATTATTATTTTTTTAGATTTTAATAAAATTTTTTCTAAGAATTCATTTATTTACATAAATAATAATTTGTCTAAAGAATTCAATTATTAAAGATAAATAACAAAATTATTCTCGAAAATTCAATTATTTTGAGGCATTTTAATAAAATTCTTTCTAAAATTCAATTATTTTCATAAATAACAATATTCATCTCAAAAATTCAATTATTTTTAAAAGTAATAAAATTTTTTCTTAGAAATTCAATTATTATTTTAAAAAATTCTAATAAAGTCGTTCGCAAGAATTCAACTATTTTTATAAATAATAAAATTCTTTTTAGGAATTCAATTATTTTCTGATAAATTTAATAAAATACGTCACAGGCATTTAATTATTCTCAAAAAAATTTAATAGAATTCTTTGTAAAATTTAATTATTTTTAACAACTTTTCGCAATTTAACGTTTTTTTAATATTTACTATTTTCATAAAATTTCCAAACAGAATTCAATTATTTAAAAAATTTTTCGGAAAAATCTTCGTTAAAATTCAATTATTTCATGAATTATAAAAATTTTTTAGGAATTCAATTATTTAAATTAGAATTTGCATAAAATTAGTTGAAAGAAATCAATTATTTAATAAAATTTTAATAAAATTCTTATTTTTATAAATATTTAATTTTTTTCATGAAAAAAAATAATTCGTTGCAGGAATTAAATTTTTTAGCAGGATAAGAAAGAAGTAAATATTTTTTGATGAAAATTATGGAAAAAGTCAGGAAAATAAAAACTATGGAATGGAATTTTTGTCTTTTTTGTAAAGTGTCTAAAACTTTTTTTGGTCGTCAAGTTTAGTTTTTTTAATAGCTGCTTTTTTACTACTTTTTTATATTTTTTTACTTTTTTTTTTTGGAAAAAAAAAGTTTGAAACCTACTTTTTGCTAATTTTTAAAATTAATTATCGAGTGCAAAGTCTGCATTTATGCAAAATTTTTTTTTTTTTATTTTTTATTTTATTTTTTATTTATTTATTTATTTTTTAAGTTTGCATTTATTTATTTATTTTATAATCAAATAAATTTTAATAAATTAAATAATTTATTGCAAGGCTTTCTTTTTTAATCTGATCTATTAATAAAGTTACTGGTATAGTTTTTCTTTTTTTTTAAATATTATACAGTTTTTTCTTTATTTTGAGACAACACTGAACGTTAATTTTAACGTTACATTTCTATACACAAGTTTTTATTTACAACAGATTTATTGCCTTAATAAAATTATTATCAGTTTTTTTAATTGTTATCTACAGTTTTTTTTTTTTTTTTTTTTTTTTTTTTAAATCAAAACTAAACGTTAATTTTAATGTTGCAATGGAATTTTTATATAAAATAATTTATTTCCTCATTGTAAAATTATAAAATAATTAATTAGTAAAAAAAAGAATCAAGGAATCGATCATATAAAGAAAAGAGGAAAAACGGTAAAAAAAAGGAATGAAAGAAATGAAGACGTTAAGAAATATCATATATAATGCATTAATGAAGTTGTTAAAAGAATAAAGAAGCAGGAGAAAGAGAGAGAGAAAAAAAATGAGAGGAAGAAAAAAAAAAGATTTCTGAGAAGATTTGAATGTCACCCTGACCCTGGTGTACATTGTTTAGCAAATGCGGTTACATAATTTTAAAACCATACAATATAATAAACCGTTATGCCATTTCGGTTTCCTTTTTACTTGTAAAAAGCCAATAAGTGTCAAGTGCAACACAAACGACGCTTTTCTATAGACAGTTTATGAATATCGAAATGAAATTTTTCTATGTTGTTCGTTAGCATAAACCAACACGTTATTTCAATATTTACCGGTGACTTCCTCAGTCATTTGAAATCTTTTAAAAATTTCATATTTCTGTAATATAACTGATATGTGAGCATAAAAAAAATTTTTTTTTCTCCAATTTATTCTAGATCTGTGTATATTTTATATGTGAAAATATAATTTACAAGTTGCAATTCATTTTTTTGTTTTCGTTTTTTTTTTGCATAGAGAATGTATGAGTGCATAACTTCATTCCTTCATTTCTGGAATGTATTTGAATTGTAATGACTTCATTCAATTATAACTTCATTTCGTATTGTATCGTCATTCTAGAATTTGTGGAATTTTATGTATTTTATTTCTTTTTGCAAACGAAATATGATAACTTTATTTCGTTGGCAAATCATAAATATCCTCGATGTTGGTTTTTGTTTTTTGGTTTCTTTTTTAAAATATTTAAATATATATTATGCTTCATTCCTTAGAGTTCATAATGGAATTTCTTGATTTTTTTTTGATAATTTAATTCCTTATTAATTTTTGTTAATTTTTTTATTCATTAGAATATTGATACAATTTTTTTTTGTATTTTTCGATTTTTCCTTTTTGCAATGCTCACTTTTCTATAATTTTTACTTTTTGTAATTTTTACCTTTCTTAATTTTTACTTTTTTCTAACTTTTTTTTAGTTTTTATTTGTTTTCAATTTTTATTTTTACTTTTTGCTTTTTGTAATTTTTACCATTTTCTATTTTTTACCTTTCTATAATTTTTCTTTTTCTATTTATTACCTTTCCGTAATTTTTACTTTTTGTAATTATTACGTTTCTATATTTT